GTCATATGCACAGTCCAATGTAAATAACCTAACATTAGCGCGGACTGGGTAGATGGCCAGTACCCGGCGTGGCTCCTGATCCAACAAGAGTTACTAGCCAGCCAACCTTCCAAAGGTGGCAGGAATCATCATTATTGGGTCAAGCGTGAGTTGTCTAGACGGATAACTGTAATGTCCTTGAGCTGATGTATTCACTACAGCATCACTGGGTGGATTTGAGAATTATTCCGCCTGTTCCGTAAATTGAGTATTTCACAGGTTTCCATTATCTACTATCTTCAGCCTTCGGAAGCAGTACCAGCTATCTGTGCTCCGTGACTCGGCTGTGGTAGACTTTTTTAATTTTGCAACATAAAGGCGTCATGCGAAGGATCCTGGATGCGTATGAGAGGTGAAATTGCAGGCATGTGCGAACTGGAATACGGCCTAACCCCTGACCATTGCCAGTTTTGCAACCACGGAACGATCTGCGATCATAAACCCAGAGGCGAAACCTGGAACTGTTCAAAATCTGTTAAATCCGGCTATTCGTGTGACCATCGCCCTAATACTGCATCAGTAGATGTTCGCAGCGTGCCCTTCTGGCTTAGCAGATTTTAGTACTGCTTAATCAGTTCCCTTTCCAGGAGCAAGTTAAAGCATTCCATAAGGTGGTTTTTTTTGAAAGCTTGCCTGGCCTAGTCCGCCCCTTTCAGTCACCAGCAACAGTCGTTTATCCAGATATCGCAGGTGCAATGGGCAGATAGTATCGCTTGGTGTCCGATGCTGGGCAGTTCCAAACACGGCGGAAATTTTAGTAAAGTCTGTCTGCATTTATTCTTTGAACGCTTTCCACAACCAATTCAAGGCTATGCTGCTGCTGGGGAAACCGCCCTATTGGGCATAGTAGTTCACCTCCGTGGACTGTTGTAATTGAGCGTTAAGTGATGATCGACCCTCCAGGTTCTGCTTTCCTAGAGTCAGCAATTCGTAATTCAAACAGGCAAAAGCTCTCCCTATTGTACTACTTACGAGTACGCGCTGCCTAATCATAGGTACCATAGTGGAAGAAAGCTCGTTTATTTCGGTTGCAGGGGTTAGTGATCGTTTATATTTTTGAGCATAAGAGTGTTACAAATAAACGCTTTGGTAACTTATTCGATGTTGCCTCCTCTAACATTTTGGATCAAGATATTATTTGATAAGGGATCACGGCCGTCATGTGGCAGTTTTGTCATAAAGCTTTACTGTATTTTATAAAACGGACATCAGTCTTTCGCGTCACCGATGACCCGTGACTGTTTATACCTCATGCCCGAGGACTTCATTTTTTGGCAGTTAACTTTCGCTAAGTGTCGGCGCCAGTATTTGTCCCCCGTGAATCCATCTTCTCATTTCTAAAGTGTGGTCTTCTGTACGTTCTGGAGCATATGACAAAACAAGCCACCATTCCACGTTCATGAAAGCTTCTTCTTTATAGCTTGTTTTCCTGCCCAAATTCCCTTCCTCACAGCATTGACTGCGTTAATGAGCTCCACTCAGGGAGTCCAACTTTGTTAGCCTGTTGCCTGATGGTAGTATTCCAGCAGGCCCACTCTTTCTACCTAAGTCAGTACGATTTTAACGAATATCCCAGAGACTTCCAGCATTTATTTGTATTTCGACAACCTGGAAAAACTTGATCGCCTAATAAGTCCCTGTAGTTTCGTTCAAATTCCCAGTTTGATTAGATAGTGGCTGAGTATCTCAAGGTGCGAGAGGTCGGAGAACTGCGGGTGTTTGAGTGGGATCTCGATACTGCTCAGGTTCCACAGACTGCACAGCTGTTGTTTGGTAACGTGGTTTTAGAGTATATTTTGGGAGCACTGGAGCTGTTAGCGAGGTTTTCGGACGCTCCCCTTTGCATTAGTTTTTGTCTTTGACATTCTAAGGCAAAAGCCTCAAGCCTTTCTGAGTGATTTCCCAACTCATGCTCTTGCTTGACTGCTGTTTTCTTGTCGTTTTTACTTTCGTTTCCTTTTTCTGCTTTCTAGTTACTGATTATTCGCGCAGACGAACTTCCATCGCGAAGGAAAAACGGGAAGAAGAAGAGGTGTGTTAAAACGAAAAGCCCTTCCGAGACGACGGCTTTTTTTCAATTTATCTTCCTATTATTTTTTTTGAAGTTTTACTTGTCCGTTAGCTAGATGGCATCAGATAAATGACCGTTGCTGCAACGCTCCAAACGTTCCGAGCATTTTTTCTTTGCACTTTACGCGCGTAGTTTCCTAGGACAGCCACCATTCTACTCGCATTCTTTCGATACCAATTTATTAGACAACTGATTCTATCCTCTTGAACTCTTTTCTAACAGTATTTTTTGGCAATATTTAACAGTTAAAGTATCGATTTATATTAGCAGCTGTGCATCCTCTTTAAAATCCCAGAGCCCGAATGCTACGTACTATGAACTTCATTGAACTAGAACGATAGTAATTCTTGTTAAGAAACGAGTAGTAAGCACAATCTTTCGAAAGCGGATTAATTCCATGTTCTTAAGTTTGTTAAATGTCGGTATCACTAGCCATGTGTTCCCTCTTGTAATGTATCCTATCAGTGTCTTCTGATTTTGATTAAACTAAGACACTCATATGCGGAGGACGACGACTGTTGCGTGCTTCGAAAGATCCGACACCGTACTGTAGCAAGTACCACCGTTCTCTCGCTCCTCTAATTTATAATATCTTCGGATTTTCACGTCGTTTGCTATTTCCTTGAACTATTTATCCTCGGTGTACGCCTTCAGTTGATCGGTAGCTTGAAATTATCCCTCTTCTTGAATTGTTATCTTTTAATGTTGTTAATCTCCTGCCTCTAACATAATCCACGCAACCTATTACCAGAGTAAAGTCTGCTCAAATCGTCTACTTTCATTATTTCCATAATGTTCGAAGTGAAACCGTTCGCTTATTCTTATTGTCTTACCTTTTTGACCAAATGGGCTGCCGTGATCCCGTTTCTGGACTCCTAGACACTATAACTACCGCTTGACAGTCGCCCTCTTCAACTCTGTCTTATTGTCCTTTTGTTAGACTGACGGTGACGCCGTCTCGGTCGCGGCATCCGAGGACTCTCATCAGGCTCCATCGGAGGCAAGCACAACGGCTACAGGCGCCAGTCATCGTAGCGCCAACAGTGAGCAAGCACAGGAAGCCTTTTTCGCGGCAATAGTTAATTACAAGACTGACGATGGTCGCCAGATCGCACCGACCTTTGCTACTCTGCCCTCTAAGCAGGTTAGACCCTTTGCCCTCCAAACTTTCCTGATGAAACTGTTGAGGTGATAATGATGATGGCGCCAGTGATTTTGTGCCTTGACATAATTCTCATTGCTCGCCATATATCTGGGCGCTCCCCGTTTGCATGCTACATCTCTCCACCCGCCAGATGCAGTTACTTGTTCGTCTTTTGTTAGCGTTCTACAGAAACCAGTTTCCTGGAGGTCGTGTTTCCGTGTGAATTACTTTCCTGCGTACGCTTTTTATCGCGTATTCTGTCTGTTTCAGGTATATCCTCAGTATTACGAGGTTATTACGGAGCCGATCGATTTACGCATGATTGCCCAACGGGTTTTGTCGGGATCGTACCAAACTCTGGGAGAGATGGAGCGCGAGTTCCTGCTAATGGCTCGGAATGCGCGACACTTCAACGAGCCCAAATCTCACATCTACCAGGTGCAGTTTTCTGCCGTTAGGGGGGCTACCGATGCCCTACTTGTCCTCTCAAAATTACATGCATTATCTTACCTTGCTGAATTTGATTAAATATGTTTGCTCTGAATGAATATTTTGTGCTAAGACAAAGTTAAAAACGTTTTTCCCTTCATTTTCATTCGCCCAAACTTCGTACTCTTTCTTACTTTCGGAAAAAGCTGCTTTCGTTTCCTTAAAGGCATCTTACTTCTTCCGTAGATCCAGTTCCCTACTCTACTTATTGGTACTTAACATTAAAATTTGTTAGTCCCCATTAATGTCTTTATAATTGCAGGCTTCTTGTTTTTTGTTTATCCCTGCTTTAGGATGCCCAAATTTTAACACGGATTGTGAAGACAAAAAAGGCAGAGGCTCGGAAACAGTTCAACCGACTAGCAACTGAAGAAAAAGAGTACGTATTAAATGAATGCTATCATAATTTGGTTTTTGCAGATGCCAGTGGTGCCCTCATCTCACTTGAAATGGCAGAAGGCACAGAAACCTTTGCGG